TTCGTTTAGGACTTTTTTTGATGGAACTAACCCGCATTTGCGCTACATGGAGAAAAAGACCACGAGAACCTCCTACGGTTAGCCTGACGGCAAGAGGACTCCAACCCATGATCCGTCTACCACGGAAGATATTTCATGTCAGCGCTGTGGTCAGTGCTTGCCGTATGCGGAATTCGTATCGATCAGCCTTCGCAGGGATTCGGACCCTTCATCTCTTTGAAAGGCAAATGCTCTATCCCCTCAGCCATCAGGGCTCTATCCAGGGCTTTAGGTAATACCACTCGTATCTAGGGTTGCTCATCACACTAAAGTTACTAACTTATCGTTCTCACAGCTGCAGCCCATTTGGGTTGCTCGCATACCGTGGTGACGATGAATTGTCGTGCTTTAAACTGTGAGTGTTTATTTGAAATTTAATTAATGGAGTGATAGTTTAGAGGAAAGGGCTACGCTTGTATCACCTCAGGAAGAATTACGCTTTTTTTTCATTTTCTTCTATTATCGCCATCCTGTATTGAAAATATTAGGTGTTTTAGGTACACGTAAGTAAATCATGAACGATATTTCGATTTTATTGTGTTTATACAGAAAAACATTTGTTAACAGATAGGCGTTGATGGGAAAAGAAAGGTTACATTGGAAAGTTTTAAAATTTTCATTTTCACTTCAAACTTGAGAATTTTGTTAGCATCTAGATCAGTGGTTTCCAACTGGCGGCCCGGGGGCCGCACCCGGCCCGCGAAGCCCTTTTTTGTAGCCAGTGAGCTAAAATATATTAGTTTTTTTGCGGACAGTTTTCGTAAAAAATCTGTATGGGTTTAAAATACTTTTCTCGTTAATAAAAACCTTATTTCTTCGTTTCTGTGAAATTTATCATACCAACGGTGCAAAATAGAAATTATTGTTCAGGGTTTGCAACCAAGAAAATATTTATTCGCATACAAAATTAATCGTGTGTGTTGCTCTTTTTTATTTCATTTTTTTGTATTTTCTGAATATAATTTAACACGTGTATATCAGAAATTTTCTCGAAGAAATTCTCCGATTAAACTTTTTGAAACCACTCATTTTGGACGAAAATATTTACACACCCTTTTGTAAATTTTAAATTTAAAATGTAAATATCTATTCTCTGGTTGCAGCAGACAAACCTCAATTTTCTCATTGAACTTATTGTGTGCTACTATGTAAGTTTTAATACCAACATTTTCAAAGTTTTATATCTTAACAATTAGATATCTGTTGCACATTAATTGTTTAATACATGAGTGCACATTAAAGTTATTGTAGCCCGAATTTTTTAATATGCAATTAAATATTTTTAAAACTCTACTTCTTATTTTAATTTGTAACTCAGTACTTTTGTTTTGTGCAACTTGGTAAAAATCTGACAGTAATATTTAATGTTCCTTCAAACATAAAAGAGTCATAAATTTATAAAAGATTCAATTCATGAAGCATATGCTTTAATTCACTTAATTCATGCAAATGCTTTAATTAATAGAAATTATTTAAAACATTTTTTTTCTCTAATTCTCTTTTTAAATTTTTACAGATATGGTCATCCTGCAAAACTACTGCAATATCTGGCAACCAATTACGTAAATTTTTGCATTGAACTGTTATACCGATATTGAGAAGTACCGGTGCAGTTTTATACTCAATAGCAAAGGGATAGTGTTTTTACTGATTTTAATAGGATTAAAAAAAACACTATTAATATTTTAGTTCTTATAATTTTCCTAAAAGTTTCCGCTGATCATAACAAATCACACCTTTGGGGGTACTGAATTATAGATTGATCGTTCTCTGGTTCAAGTCAAAATTACGATCATTCTCTGGTTCAGGTCAAAATTACGATCAGTGGATGAATGATTTTTCTAAAAATTAAACTACTTAAACATTTAAGAGTTAAATATGCTAAACTTAGATAGAGGTGAACTACGGAGTACCTCACTCCTTCATCTATAACAGTACCCGCGGGCAACTGAACTGAGATAATAGCAGTAAGTGCTAACTAGATTAAAAAATAGATCATATGTACATATTATTTAATTATTGATTTGAAGTGGTTAGTTGAAAAAAATTTTTAAACTTTAAATTGAAGATTTAATGCTCCAAAACGCTAAAATTATATTTACAATTTTATGTACAAGTTTACAACTATGGATGTATGGTTTATGTACAAGTTTGAAACTATGGTTATGTATAATTCTAATTTACCCATTAACTTTTGCTAACCGATTCCTGTCTGGCGACTGAATTGCTAATTACGGTTCATTTTTTTTTCCTTTTCAAAAACAAAACAAAAAATGGCAGCGTAAGGGTTTAGTTAAAATGTGTTAATTTATTTTTCAAAAGCTGTTTCTACAGTTACTATACGTGGGTTGCTATTTATATTTCTGGCCTAATAATGAAAAAACAAATGTGTAGGATCGAAATTGGTTTTATTGTTTTTCAAAATATTCTCCATGATGATCAATACACTTTTGCATGCGTTTGAACCAATTTTCAAAGCACTTTTTCCAGTCCGATTGAGGTAACTCCAAAACATGCGTTTTGAATGCATCAACCGCTTCTTCGGGGGTCGAAAATCGTTGTCCACGTAATTTATTTTTGATGTGTGGGAATAAGAAGAAGTCATTGGGTGCCAAATCAGGGCTGTACGGCGGATGACCCATNGATTCAGTGCGACTCAAATTTGAAGGCAAAATTCATTGAAGTGGGTGTGCCTGAATTTTACAAATATTTACCGGCAAGGTTTGAAAATACTCGAAAATTCGCATATGAAATTATTTCCATGTTTGGAAGTACTTATCAGTGCGAGCAATTATTTTCTGTTATGAATGTAAATAAATCTCTTGTCCGAAACCGTATTGATAACGCTCACGTTGGGTCAATTTTGAAAGTAGTCTCAGCCAATAAAATTTACTTCTGAAATAGGAAAGATAATAGCAGAGAAGAGATATCAAGTATCAAACAATAATTTAACTTTATATATGTTTACTACAGTGTACAAAATAAAAATATTTGTTTCTTTTGATTTTTTTTCTTTTTTTTTTTTGCGGCCCACTTAAAGTTAAGCATTGTTTATTTGGCCCAAGTTAGGTTTTTAGTTTGACACCCCTGGTTTAGAGGAAAGGGCTACGCCTTTATCGCCTTAGGAAGAATTACGCTTTTTTTCTTTTTCTTCTATTATCGCCATCCTATATTGAAAATATTAGGTGTTTCAGGTACACGTAAGTAAATCGTGAACGATATTACGATTTTATTGTGTTTAGACAGAAAAACATTTGTTCACAGACATGCGTTGATCGAAAAAGAAACGTTTCGTTGGAAAGTTTTAAAATTTTCATTTTCACTTCAAACTTGAGAATTTTATTAGCAGTCTAGATGCATATGCTTTAATTCATAAAAAAAAAATTTTGTTTAATAGGAATTGGTTGAAAAAATTTTTCTCTAATTCTCTTTTTAAATTTTTACAGATATGGCCATCCTGCAAATCTACTGCAATATCTGGCAACCAATTGCGTAAATTTTTGCATTGAATTGTTATACCGATATGGAGAAGCACCGGTGCAGTTTTATACTTAATAGCAAAGGGGTAGTGCTTTCACAGATTTTAACATAATTTTAAAAAAAAAAACAGTATTATTATTATTATTATTTTAGTTTTCATAATTTTCCTAAGAGTCTCCACTGATCACCATTAACATTCTGCCGATCTCAGGGATGCCAAGTGTTCCACATTCTGCCAAACATTTAATACATAAGCAGCGAATCAAATAGTAAAACTTGTAGAATAAAGGAACTGAAACTGTATGTAGTTTTCCTGGTGCCTATTCAGAACGAGCTTATCCTCAATAGAAAAGTTGAGACTCTTAGTGTAATAAATGGAAACTGATGCTCGTTAAATCTGTCGGATCGCAAAATCTTCCATGTTCCCATAACAAATCTTACCTCTGGGGGTACTGAATTATAGATTGATCGTTGTCTGGTTCAGGTCAAAATTACGATCAGTGGATGAATGATTTTTCTAAAAACTAAACTACTTAAACATTTAAGAGTTAAATATGCTAAACTTAGACAGAGGTGAACTACGGAGTACCTCACTCCTTCATCTATAACAGTGTCCGTGGGCAACTGAGCTGAAATAATGGCAGTAAGTGCTAACTAGCTAAAGAAATCGATCATATGTACAAATTATCTAATTATTGATTTGTGGTGGCAGGTTGAAAAATATTTTTAAACTTTAAATTGAAGATTTAATGCCCCAAAAGGCTAAAACTTTATTTACAACTTTATGTACAAGTTTACAACTATGGATGTATGGATTATGTACAAGTTTGAAACTATGGATATGTATAATTCTGATTCACTCATTAACTCTTGCTAACCGATTCCTGTCTAAAGACTAAATTGCTAATTACGATTCTTTTTTTTTTCCTTTTCAAAAACAAATCAAAAATGACAGCGTAAAGGTTTAATTAAAATGTATTAATTTATTTTTCAAAAGCTGTTTCCACAGTTACTATATTAATAACATAAGTATTTGTATTTAACACGGTCAAGGCGGCTTAACTGAATTTATTTATTTATTTAGTAGTACAACTTACATTTACAGGTTAATGTGCTCAATTAAGGCTTATAAGCCTTCGTCAAGTTCAAGGTCAGATAGGGCAATACACGGAAGGACATCACGAAGAAATACATTCAGAGATACGTCGGGATTCGAATCCACCACCTTCACGAATAAAGATTTTGGCTGGCGATACAGCTCAACCGAGGAGGCCCACGGTTTAACTGTAACAAAGTGGGGTATCTCATAAGCCTTTGAATTAGGAATCAGTAAAAACCTTATAAATCGAATTTATTAAACCAAGAGTCATAGATTAAAAGACTTCCACTCGAAGACATCCAGTTGCTGTCCGGAGCAAATTGTCACCTCTGAGAACATTTGTGACTAATGGGATTAATAAAAAACAATAAAAGTGCATTACCATTATCAGTGACTGATTCATTCCCTTCCTGGCAGAAACACAAGCAAAAAAGACACCATATATGAAAGATTCTTAAAATTTCCATTTTCTTTTACTTTAACGAAAAATTATAAAAGTAAATTTGATGTGGAATATGACAACAAGACACCAGAAAAGAAACTGCACCAGAAAAATGTTATTTGATTCACAGTTCCTCTAAAGCGCCTAATCTCTTTAGGGTCATATAATTATATATGATACCTTCAAGATTTGTTGGTATAAAATCTGCGATAATTCCCTGATAAGAAAAAATCCCGTTTGAATTTGAAAGTTCTCTGAGGACGTGGTTTTATGAGTATGAGTAAAAGATAGAGGTTGCTATAACGTGTCATAAAAACTATTTAGGGAAAGTATGTTGAGAACATCATTTCAATTAAAAAAAGAATATATTTACTTTGTGAGTAAGAGAAAAAGCGTCTAAAGTTTCTAAGAAATATTCCATTTATTCTATATGCGTTGTGACGTACGTGCACATAATTGGATAACATTTATGTTTTGTCGACCTACAACACTGGGGAAAACATTTTATTGTGGCATTTATACATATACTTGATTTTTCCTTATTCGGGTGTGGGGACTTTAAATTTTAAATAAGATTTGCTTCTAAAACTACAGACTTTTTTAAAGTAACAGTTTTAACACGTTGAGCGCCGCGTCAGCCATCGGTGACTGAGACTGGACTTTCCATATAGGCAGCGTCAACCACCAGTGGCTGACACTGAAATTACATTTGGGCCGCGACCACCACCGGTGGCTGACACTGAAATTACATTTAGGCTGCGTCAACCACCGGTGGCTGACACTGAAATTACATTTAGGCTGCTTCTGCCACCGCTTGCTGACACTGACCTTTCACATAGACCGCGAAAAACAGCTGGCTGACAGCGTATAACATGATATAGAACAATAAAAAGTACACTCTTTTATGGAATTGCAGAAAACTTATTCGAAATTTACTTAATTATTGTGATTCTTGGTTTAATAAATTCAATTTAGTAGATTCCTATCCACCACTTTTTTTAAACAATTTGTAAGTATATATAATTCACCACTTTTTCCCAGATACGTCATTATAAAACTTTTATTAAGTAGCAAAATCTGTCTATATTTGCAAATTTATTTTGTAGTTATTCACCGTGTAAAATTAGCGTGGCATTCAACGTGGGAATCTATCTTGTGACAAAATGCACAAGTTTGAAAACGCTATGTATTGCAGGGGTCGCATAAATATTGCGACAAACTTTTACAAGAGTTAGGGCACATCATACCTGCCAACTTTTAATCCCTTTCATTATTATTTTCCCCAGTGGTAATAAAATGGAATTAAAACTTCAATTTTAAGCAAACAAATACGTTGTATATGAGCAAACTTAAGTTGACAACCATGATAGTAACGCATAATAATATATGTGCTAAATTTTTGTAGGAATAGTGGTGATCAAAATCATTTAAAAATTAAGTTTATAAAAGAAAAAATAGTATATATTTACTACCACTTTAAATATGAAAACAAAATCTTCCGGAAAATCCGGAAGAGTTGGCAGGTATGGCACATTAACAGGTTTAAAATTGCATAGGAACCCATGCCCATAAATGTCGTCCTACACAGCTAAAAAAGTTTTCTTGTTATGACCTACTCAGAAGCACAGGGGGCGAAGAAACTGTTCGTAATAGAGAAGCAGCCCTAACGGCGTACGGCGACATTTCGAGACGTAGGTTTCTAACTGCCCTAGAAGTTTGTCGCAACACTTCCGTGACCCCCAGTTATATGCAACGTTTTTACATTACGTTTGTACATTATAAGACTAAAAATATCATTTGAAAAAAAAATTAACTTGTTGAGAGAAACCGATGGGAGATTTGAAATCAACGAAGCGAAAATTCCAAAAATCTGTAACAGAAAACAAAAAAAAATTGCTACCTTGTGTAATAATAAAAGGAAGAGATAATCAGTGTGTCTCTCTTATAACTTAAGAATCATTTGTGCTAGCGTCCTGAAATTCGAACTATGGCAATTTTTAGCATCTTATATTTAAAATTATCAAAAAAATTTCCATTGAGTTTTTCGTAAGAAACGTATTTTTTGTATAGGTTTAGCACTAAGCATTGTTACAAATTAAACTATAGACTCTTTTATTTATTTAAACGATTGTGTCAGTGATGTTTGCAAGCTTACAGCTCTGTTTAATCAAAAATGAAGTTTATGTCATCAGCCACAGTTATTTTTTACTTAATTAAGCATTCAATTTATATTCATAGGCTGAAGCAAAATGAACGGTATTACGTCACCGAATAAATAGTTTGAAAATATCTGAATTCATGTGACTTTTTTTTAAAAATGCATCTATAAACCTATATAATAATAAAACCATGGTGATTGAAATCTAAAATTATAACGATAAATTATTTCCTGGAATGCAAAATCACCAAGAAAACTGCTTGGTTAGGGCAAATCTGGACTATCACAAGGATATATCTGGACATTAACTCAGGGCTAAAGAGAGAATAGAAAATTCGCTCCTTCGAAGAGACTCGTGTCGCTCTGAGTTAAAGCTCCTATACTAACTTCTGATTTTTGTCAATGACGTCACGGCGGAGCAGCATCAACTTTTCGTTTTAAAAATGAATTTTTCCGCATGTAACTATCATCCTTTTAAAACTTATTTTAATACATTTATTGTTTTCTATATTTTTATTTATTTATTTTGAGGTGATTTTCTTCTCATCTGAAAGCAAAAATTTAATAGTAGTAGTCAAATATCAGTTTGCGCGATAGCGACCGGCAAGAAATGTTATAAAGCACAAAATAGGAAACGCAATTTTCCGTGTTTTATATCAGAAAATATAAAGGTGATATCAAATGAATTATAAAAAGCGCTGGAAAGATTTATCCTGCTGTGAATTAAAGAATTATTTTGCGTGTTTTTTGTTTAGACGTTTAAGAACTTTTAATTTCGCCATTGAAATCGATACCGTCTAGTAACTTTAAACAGAAAAGAAGAAAAAAATGTACAAGGTCCAAGAAAAGAAAATCCTGAACTTCAAAAATAAAGTTATTAAAGCTTAAAAATTCTTCCAATTTAATAAGATATTTTTTGATGTCATTATTCTAAATATCTATGTGTTTTAATTATAGCACCTTATTTTTAAGTATTTATAAGCAAGTGTAATATTTCCATTATTATATGATCAAAGATTTTTTTTAGCAATTAGCATTTAAGATTTTTGCTTCCTAGTGATAATATATACAAAACAATTGTTATTATACAATGATATATAAGAAAATATGTTAAAATTAGGCATACCAATTAATAAAATATAAGGACACTTTTATAGTTACAGATTATTATCGGACAATATGTTACTATAAAAGTGTTCTTATATACTTTTATTTATTTAACAGTGAAAGTTAAAACCTAAAATCAGAAAAAGATAAGAAAACGATGACGACAACCATTGAGATATTTCTCTAACTTAAAAATGTTTTTTTAATACTATATAAGGAATACCAAGAAAATGTATTAATATTATATTTTTTAACAGAAATAATTTTTTCATATTTGATTGTTTCATATTCTCCTCATAGTTAATGTCAATGGTCCGCAAATATATTTAATGCGTTTCCTCGTTTAAATCATGCCGAGCAAGCAACAACAGCCTATCGTTACAAAAGATGATCTTTGTCCATACTTTTGTGATCTAAAACAAATTAATATAACTGATTGCATGCATAAGTATTATTTTCCTGTACTCTAGCTTTCAAGTCATTGCAGCTCTTTGTTTAAACAGCCTACACACCATGCCAAGATGATACCGCATCGAATAGTTGGTTTTTAATTGCCCTGAAAAAAGCCGAGAGAATTGCAGTCGGTAATCCAATTTTATATATATATATATATATAG